TTATGCAGATACAATTAAGTTTTACGGTAGAATTGCATTGTTTCATGCAATAATTAAAACATATATATATTTTCAAATATTCGATGACCGTTAATTATTTGGCGGTAATTATCGGATTCTGAAATATATAATACGGATTTCGATGTCTGGTATAACGGTAAATGTATAAGGTAGAATTACAAGTAGAATTACAAGAATATCACTCGCCTTACAGAATTAATCAAAATTATGAAATAAAAAAGTGCTGGAAATGAAACACGATTTATCAACTTATGTTTCATATAGTTAAAAGAAATAAAAAAAAATAGTTTTATGAAAACTGCAAAAGGGATTTTCAAAGATTCGAACTTGGCCTACTAGGTCACAACATCGTCATACTTACTACCACTAGGCCATCGACCAATATTAATTGATTTAATATCGAGATCTATACTATCAATAAAATCTTTAGCATTAATCATAATAAGTTACGTAAACTAACGAAACAACTCCCAAAAATTAATGAGTCTCATGTCAATATTGCCAGACAATACTTGCTTAGTTTGTAATCATAGAAGTTCCTTGACAATATTGCTAAGTAATGTTGTATTGTGAATAAACAGTTACTCAACATATTGTTCCTCTTTTCTTTATACTTGAACAATTAAATAAACTGATATTTTCTTATATTTATGATAAAACAATCATTTTTCTATCCGGCGACTTGATGCTTTAGCATCAAAACCTCTACTTGTCAATATTTGTGGTTCTATTTCAGATTGGCATATACTTTTGATCTGCTATGCAGAAATGATAATCATTACAATATTACATAACACTGTTGATAGTTACTGTTATTAGTATCAACGAACCCATGCAATGTTAGTTGATAAGATAATCAGTATCACTGTAGTGCAGCGTAGTTTAAGTACCGTTGTAAATTAATACCACATGTAACAAATTGTATGGGGTGATTTTATAGGCATTTAATAGGATCCATTAGTTAGACTTATGCACATTGTGTTAACATACTTTGAAGCTTTTTTAAAAGAATTATATTCATTTTAATTAGTACAAGCTGAATTTTTGTATGAGATGGTTACTATTTATGAACTAGTTTACAATCCTAGTGTGAAATTTAATGTCGAAAGTGTTAATTACAATAAATTATGTTATTTATTTAATCATGAGTTTTTCTTTGTAAAAGTTTAAATACTATACATTATTATTTTTAAAACATGTTTTTGATAAAATAAATGTGGTTGTTTTAGGTTACGACAACATTTAACATATTGTGATGGTATTTTAAATATAAATAAGCAATAATAATATCACCAATTTGAACATAATTACTTTTATTGACGTTGTAAACATTCCCTGAATTGACTACGTATGTAAACAGTGATATTAAGGCTCATAACACATTTCCAATTTACAGCATTATTGTGTATATTAAATATGGTGATGCTAGAATGAAAGATATAACGTTTTTGGGGTTGAGACACATTGTCAAGAATTTATGCCATTAACGATTTCCAATTTAATAGATTGTAACCTGATAGAGTGAATAATCAAAGCATTAAAGAACAATCCCAGTTTACGACACTAGTTAACGATATTGGGAGTATGTTTTAACTAATGTATAGGGTTGTTTAAATTAATTATATAATGGTTAACATTAAATTATAAAATTACCTTATTATTCTATTTTCAATCTATGCATCCATGTACCTTAATAAATATGTTTTTATAAAACAATCCCTGTTTTAGATACTAGTTTAACATATTGGGGTGTATGTTTAACTATGTATGCTTAAAATGGTAATTTTAATCCATAAATTGAATTAAAAAAAATACTTAAAGTTTGTATTTTCTATTCAAAACTATGCATTCATTTAAGCTAATAAAATGTCTTGCATAAATTAGTCCCAGTCTTGGACAATAGTTCAAACAATAATTGAAGTATATGTTAACTATGTATTGCTTAAATGTTAATTATAACTCATATATTGAATTTAATTTAATAATGTAACAAATCAAAATGTTTTTGCAGTTTAACATACAGGAGTCATCATTAACTATGTATTGCTAACACATTAATCACAATTCTATTTTGAACTTTATGTTTACTTAAGAACAGTTTGTGATAAAATTTGAATACATTGACAAGATGAGATGAGATAAGATAAGATCTGTTTATAGTGACACTAATTTTAGCTTTATTGCTTTATTTATTTTATTTTATTTTATTTTTTTTCAATATAACTTTACATATTAACATAAGATTATATCAAATTTTACTTAACGTATACAAAGCTATAAATAGGCTGCATATAATATAAAAAATTATTGAATACATTTTGAAATAAAATATTACAAAATACCTTGAAAAGAAAAGTAGATGGAAATGTTGTTTATTGCCCTATGAGCGAATGGCACTACACACGTTTCAAAATTATCGTATATTTTTGTTTGTAAATTACAATTGTAATCTTTATGTCACAATTTAAATTGTCGCTCTTTCGTTTTCGTAGCTTTTCACGGTATGTCGTTCCCCCTTTGGTTGGACAGTTTGGTGGTTTTTGTTGTCCAACTTTGTGTCATCTATTATTACGTTTGCTACAAATTGTTTTCTATATGAAAGTGTATTTGAAGTTTCTGGTTAATCTTTTGATTATATCATAATCTATTCTTAGACAAAAAAGACGTCTGGCTCTGCCACACATTATCAATCAAAGTTCTGTGTTTGTATTAGCTCTACTGAATATGACACAAATTAACAAGGAGGAACATGTACCGTGGTAATAGTAAAACATAAATATATTGTGAAAAATACATTATAATGTAAAACAAAATTATGTTTATTTCTTTTTAATTGAAATACATAATTCATATAAACAAATATTTTCTTTTTTGTGATTGATAAAGGGAGACACAAGTCTAAAAAAATGCTCGAACTTCTTTCTTACAAAAATTAATTAATTCTGTATAAATGAGATATTTTGTATAATTATAGAATAAAGTTTTAAACTTACTTTGAATATTGTATTTAACAGTACATGTATTTCATAGAAATAATCAAGATGAACTGTTTCTTTCCTTTTGACCAGATAGGTGGAAGTTTTGAATGAAATAGAAGGGAAACAACTCACTTCCTTTTCATAACAGTTGTTTTGAGAGTAAATTGAATAATGTCCCTTTTAGATTTTTTAGCTCACCTGACCATTATGTTCTTGTCTTTTGATGAACCGCCATGGAATTTGGACCATATGCACAGATGTAAATTGAATATATCAGCTGACCTAGATTTTGACAAGGTGACTTACTTTCTTGTCTTTTGATGTACAGTCATGGAATTTAGGCCATATGAAATATGACATTAACACCAAATTATCTAGACTCAACTGCATTATGGCAAAGTACAAACAAAGAAGTAAATCTGGTGGCTTAGCATTTTTCGCAAATGCAATCTTGTTTTACAGATAAAATTTTATATGTATACTATGTATAAAGTAAACACTTAAAAAACTTTTACTATGAATAATGATTAGGCTAGAGGTTAGAAAATTGGCATGAAGCATTGTGTAGTAAAATATAGCCCCGAGGTCAAAATTGACCCAGCCCCGGGGGTCATATGTATATATTTGGTCATATTTGGTATATAATATCATCTATAGGTCCTCTACCATAGTTGTTCAAAATTTGTCCCTGGTGTGATAATTGGCCCTTACACAAATAATAGTATGTCTTCAGGTGAGCGCTTTGGGGCCAATGCCCCCCCCCCCCGTCTAACATTCTTTAATTGAACTTTAAAAAATATATTATAATATAAGGCTTAATTATGTGTATAATTCTGTCTATTTAAAATATGGCATGTACACGTAATAAAAAACATCATATATTGTTTTAAAGAAAAAGATAGTTATATTATTCCAGAATGAAATATCAATGACTCTTAGTGAAAATCCTTCATTATGCAGGTTCACAATTTTGACAAAAGAAATCAGCATCACTTTTTGGATAATTTGTATTTATTAACATTTACAAAAAAATACAAAAAATGATGTCATTGACGTAACTAGTAGGTTAAAATGTGATAAAATAAACAGCAAACTCATTGATAAAGAGGGGACAGGGTATTTTTGAAGTTGGAATAAATATTAAACCTGGAAACATGAGCTTTGCAATATTTGATGTCATGTTAATCACTTTAAGAAAACATGGCCTGTGTTTTATTTACTGTCATGTTTATCACTTAAAGGAAACATGAACTGTGCAATATTTGTTGTTTTAATGTTTATCATTAGAAGGAAACATGGCCTGTAAAATATTTTACGTTTGCTGTTTATTTTATCACATTTTAACCTACTAGTTACGTCAATATTTGTCATGTTTATCATTTGAAGGAAACATGGCCTGCGAAAAAATTGTTGTCATTTTTAATTATCACTTGAAGAAAACATGGCCTGTGAAATATTTGTTGTCATGTTTATCACTTGAAGGAAACATGGCCTGAGATTTATTTGTTGTCATGTTTTATCACTTGAAGGAAACATTACCTGTATTTTATTTGCTGTCATGTTGATCATTTGAACGAAACATGGCATATGAAATAGTTGTCATGTTTATCACTTGAAGGAAACATGGTCTGTGAAATATTTATTGTCATGTTTATCACTTGAAGGAAACATGACCTATATGTTATTTGTTGTCATGTTTATCACTTGAAGGAAACATTGCCTGTGCAATATTTGTTGTCATGTTTATCATTTGAAGGAAACATTGCCTGTGAAATATTTGTTGTCATATTAATCACTTGAAGGAAATACGGCCTGTGAAATATTTGTTGTCATGTTTATCACTTGAAGGAAACATGACCTGTGAAATATTTGTTGTCATATTTATCACTTGAAAGAAACGTGACCTGTGTAATATTTGTTGTCATGTTTATCAAGTGAAAGGATCATGGCCTGTAAAATATTTGCTGTCATGTTAATCACTTGAAGGAAACATGGCCTGTGATAAATTTGTTGTAGGCCAACTTTGAGCCATTGCCGTACATTGCTGAAAATGAGCTTGATTGGCCAGAACTATCTTATGGAACTGGTAATGATACTTTTTATAAATTGAAGATCTTGAAGTAAAGATCGTTTCAACAGATCCAATTTTTGAGCAATATTATACAATTTTTGATAACTGAGCAATTGAATATGATGTGATATTCATTAGCAGAATATCATATTGTCTGAGGTGATAGGACATCAAATAAGTATGGGTAAGAGTTCGTATTAAGACGACCGTAGGGAGTCTTATCGAACTCTTACCCATATAACTGCAAATCGGCTCTTACAACTCGATATCAGATAAAAATATAGAAAGTGTCACCTAACATTATTTTTCCCCAGCAGTCACGTACAAACAAGGATGGGGCCCAATTACTTAATCTGGCATGTAAAACAATGAGTTTTCAACAATACCTAGGATTGTTAATGCAATTCATTCCTGTCATATGAAACAAAATAATGTTTTGCTTACTTTTCTAGAAAATATAAACAGTCAGCAATTAATAATTGACATTTTTCTTAGAGTTAAAAGGATATCAAGCAGTACAGTTACTGTGTTCTCATTTGTCTCTGCGAGCTGAGCTCCACGTGCATTATCTATGTAATAAATTGAATGTATCCTCACATTGCTACAGTGTTATCAGCCTTTTTAGAAACACCTGACCTGGCTAATTAAAATATGCAAATCACAATTTTCACTATCAGCACTGGTTTCTTCATGAAAAAGCGGCTACACTAATTACTACCGAGTAAGAGCCGATTTGCAGTTATATAACATATAATGAAACGTGATTAAGCAATTAGGATGTTATGATAATTGAATATCTGATTTTACTTTAGAATCAGAGAAAAATTAGCCATTTAATTATACTACATCCAGGGAAGATGATTTATTATTATATTGAATATATATTGAATGAATGTAGATTAAATAACATGTTGAATAAAATCACATTCTGCAGCCTCTGCTTTGTATAGTTGAGATCTCTACTGATATTTTTAGGATTTATGAATGCTACAGAGGAGCTGAGTAAAGTTATACATGGTCATACTGATTCTTTATACCTGAGACTATGGCAACAGAACAGATGTAACTTTAGGGATTATCAGAACATTGCCGTGAATGGTAAGTTTCGATTTTAGTGTTTTAATGTATCTGTATTTTTTAATTAAAGGTCAAGTGATGAAGGTCAATGCTGTTTATTTAAGTCATTTGCTCTACAATCCTACAGTTTTCTTAATAGTCTTAGGGCCAGTTACACAGACGGTCAGTCCCCAATTGGTCATTTAATTTTTAATTAACTCGCTGTTATGATCGGTTGTCATCTGGTTTTCTGTGTAAACGGCCATCAGTGACAGAAAGGAACTCAAACGGGGTTGGATCGGTGATAAAAATGCTGAAATACTATCGGTTTTTATCGTTTGTAAATCGGAGCTAAATCAGGCTTTACGCTGATTAATCGGTGTTTGATAGCTAGTCATCAGTGGACACTTTCCGTCAGATATGGCCGGTGATTCATATTTGGTTATCTTTTGTCCGATCGGCGATATCGGTGATTAAGAGCTTGCATATCTCGTGATATAGGTTGCTGTCGGTTATTTGTAAAATATTTTCACTGATCGAGAATTTTAAACATGCTTAAAAATCCCAATAAGTAATTTTTCACCGATAAAACTTATCTTTCCTCAATAGCATTTGATAAATGGAAAACAGTTGACCAATAGGTAATATCGGTGTTAAATACGGTGTCATAGGTTCACTCCATAATTTGGCTAAAAAAACTACTGATCAATCACTGATGGCTCTGTGTAACTGGGGTTATCTCGGAAATTAAGAATATTTTTGGTTTTCTCCAGTGTATCAGTAGGTACAAACAAACTTTTTCATGCAGTAACAGCTTTGATAATAAGCACAACAGGTTGACTGATCTATTGTGACGGGTTATGTGCATAGTGAAGCTAAAACGGTAAAAGTTTGTTTGTTACCTACGGATTAGCTGGGAAAAACCCGCATTTGCTGAGTTCCGGATAACATCTATTCTGTATGGAATTGTATAAACCAAACTTTAAAAAAAATCATATAATCTTTTGATGTTTACTTAAATGCACCTTTTCATGATATCAATTAAGGAATGGTAAAAATATGATACACTAGATGTTGAAAAAAAAAAACATTTTATTTTCTATTAGAATACCACTTTTGTCATATTTTCATTTTTTTCTTTCATTGTTTTTTTTGTTCATATTTTAATCAGGAGCTAGAGCTAGCTCAATGGTTGATACCATTGAAAAAAGGTATATATTCAAACCTATGTTAAAGACCACCTCTAAATATAAAGACCTAATCTAAATTTAAAGACAACCCATTCACCACTCCTAGTTTTCTTTCCAGATACATTTCATTTTCACTTATGAACATCAATCTGTTGCAAATTTACAGTCAAACCCTCTTTATCTGGGCCTAACCTTTTCCAATTTTTTTTTATCCTCAATTAAATGTGGTCTTTAATGTTGAGTTTGATTGCCAATGTATGATGAAGTAAAGTATGTTATTATAATACACAATTATGACATATATAACCCTAAATTTTGGCTGTGAATGTTTTTTTTTAATGGAATGGTACAAAAATTTAACAAGAACAGAATGTCTTGCTGCTTTCTAAAACTTTCTATGTTGTGCTTTGTATGAGAGTTAGTAAACTGGTTGATTCTATGTGATATTATGGGATGTTTAAATGTTGTTTGCTCATCATTAAATATCAAAACCAACAAAGGTACACAAAAATTGTTTGCACATATAGTTTACACATTACAACAGTACATAGATATAACACAACATACATAAAGGTTACACACCACATAAAGGCTACACAGAACATAAAAATTAGATACTTAATGATTGTTGTATGCCAGACTTTTGGGTAAGGCACCACATAGAACTTTAATTTACATATAACATTAATCTAACATAAAGGTTTAATATACAGAACTTCACATAAGGTAACCTTCATGTAAAATCAGCATACAGAATGAGCTTTATATTAAAAACACATACCTTACACATTACATGAAGAATACATATCCTACACATTACATAGAGAGTACATGCCTTGTACATTACTTAAAAAATACATACTCTAGACATTACATAAAGAATACATACCTTGCATGTTACATAAAGAATACATGCCTTACACTTTACATAAAGAATACATGCTTTACACATTATATAATAATAAGTAATATATACCTTGCACATTACGTAAAGAATACATACCCTAGACATTACATAAAGAATACATATCCTACACATTACTTAAATAATACATACCTTGCATATTACATATAGAATACATACCCTACACATTACTGAAAGAATACATACCTTACACATAACATAAAGAATACATGCCCTAGACATTATATTAAGAATAAATACCCTACACATTGATTAAAGAATACATACCTTGCATATTACATAAAGAATACATGCCTTATACATTACATAAAGAATACATATCCTACACATTACATAAAGAATAAATACCTTACACATTACATAAAGAATACATGCCTTGTACATTACTTAAAAAATACATACTCTAGACATTACATAAAGAATACATACCTTACATGTTTCATAAAGAATACATGCCTTACACTTTACATAAAGAATACATGCTTTACACATTATATAAGTAATACATACCTTGCACATTACGTAAAGAATACATACCCTAGACATTACATAAAGAATACATACCCTACACATTACTTAAATAATACATACCTTGCATATTACATATAGAATACATACCCTACACATTACTGAAAGAATACATACCTTACACATAACATAAAGAATACATGCCATAGACATTATATTAAGAATAAATACCCTACACATTGATTAAAGAATACATACCTTGCATATTACATAAAGAATACATGCCTTATACATTACATAAAGAATACATACCCTAGACATTATATAAAGAATAAATACCCTACACCTTAATTAAAGAATACATACCTTGCATATTATATAAAGAATACATGCCTTATACATTACATAAAGAATGCATACCCTAGACATTAAATAAAGAATACATACCCTACACATTACTTAAAGAATACATTCCTTGCACATTACATGTAGAATACATACATTACATAGAGAATACATACCTTACACATTACATAGAGAATACATGCATTACACGTTACATGTAGAATACATACCTTACACATTACATGGAGAATACATACCTTACACTTTACATAAAGAATACATGCA